TGATATTGTCATCAGAGCTCACTGTCTGGGGATTAGCCATTATCTGAGCTAGACAGTTAGCCATCAGAGAGATTATTTTCAGTTGTGTCTTCTTTCTCTTTGACCTTCTTCCCTAGAAAAGTTTGCTCGCTTGGTTCACCTGTTAAAATGACTTGTCAGCCAAAATCATCCTTGGGTTTTCAGACTCTGTTCTTTGGCTTTATTATGCTCTTTCTTACCTTCTAATGCTGTAGTCCACAGCTTTCATTTTATGTATGCATTTTTAATTTGTGTGTGTGCATGTTTCAGTAAATCCCTAACTAAACAGAACTGGACACAATCTCTGCCCAGTACAAAGCTAAACTCATCTACAAATTGGAATACATATTTGCCACAGTATTTATGTGCAGTTGTTTATAGACTCAGAATGAGGAACCTGGATAGGACAGGTGCAGAAGTTTAGACTTTTTTTTCAATCAGTGCCACCTCCTTTGCCAGAAATAACAGCATTGAAACATTTGCGGTAGGAAGCTAACCATCTTTCTATTCTTGTTTTTGGAGTTTTCCCATTCTTTCTTGCAGAAGTCTTCCAGATGTTGACTTGCACATTTACAAGCAGTGTAGCAATGGGTGGATGGTGGGTCAGAGTTACTGGCCTTTGTTGCTGATTGAGGGCTTTAATTGAGTCACTAGACAGTAAAATTTTGTCTCTTCTTCCTCTCCTCTCTGCTCCCAGCTCCCCCACTCATAGAACTTGGCTCCACAAAAGTGCAGTTGACTAAGCCAAGTCAACTTGTTTGTACGGCAAAAGATTTTTATCCTGGCAATATCTCTGTGACGTGGTTCCGAAATGAGAAGATCGTGCAAGGCCCAGAATGGCCTCCTGCTTGGACCAATGGTGGCCTCTTGTTCAGAGCAAAGAGTGTCCTGGAGCTCATACCACAAATTACAGATGCCGATGCCAACTTTACCTGCCATATCCAGCACCAAGCAATGGAAGGGCCACTTGCCCTAAATTTTCAGTTGCAGCTGCAAGGTATGACATTTTGCTCAGAAAGTAAGGAGTCCTGGCAGTCTTTCTCCAACTGTCCAATCAGACTCTTGTTTTAAGCTCTTTCCAGAAATCCAACATTTGGGCTGAAAAGCAGAGGCCGGGCTCACAAAATGCAGAAGACATGGTCTTGCACTATGTAAATCATCTTTATTTTTTAAAAAGTCACGATTGTGTCCATGTGACACACTCACGTATAGAGCTTAGCTGACAAACCTCATTTGGCTTGGTTATCATGACATCTTAAAGTCAGAACCAAACAAGCCACACTGTTCTGTAGTATGAACCAGCCACTGGCTTGTCTTCTCAGAAGGTTCACAGCTAGCTTTAGACTTAACCTGGAGACATTTTCTGCCTTATGGGTAATGTCACTCTTCCAACTAATGTGCATTTAGTGGAAGATAAGAAACTCTTGGGGACTTATATGGGTATATTTTCCGATACTAAGTTGAAAGTTACCATATGGTATTTATACCATATAAAAAAGGATGTGGACAACATGGGTGTCTGCCAGAGGGGCAAAGGAAGACACATTCGCCATGATTTCACTGCTATGGCTAACACGCTCATGTCAGATATCATGATGCAAGTATTAAATTGTGTCCTTTGCATAATCAGAACGCGGCACATGTCATTTTGACATCATTGCATCGTTACAGACACAGTGGTGCACAATCTGAGGTCCCAGAGCTACACGTAGCCTCCCCATATCATTGGGTATAGCCCCCAGAGTTGTTGTAGGTCAAGAGAAGAGGGAAATAAAAACACAAGGGTATTACAGTCACTGGATGTATCCCTAGTGATTGTTGCTCAAACTGCACATGAGAAAAGCTATAGTACATTTACTCTGTTGCGTAGAAATGATAAATACATTGCTCTTATGCCGTTATATCTCCCTCTGCTAGCTGTCTCAAAATTGACAGAGAATCTATGTAGATCATGTCCACGAGGGGCTTTGGCACCGTTCCCAGCTTGGCACTGGACAGCTGAGCCCATTTAGTTTTGGTTCAGCTGCAGCACAGCTCAAATGTGAGCCTGGGGCTCTGCAGGGCTTAGGGGGCTGGCGGGCTGCCCAATGGTGGGCATCTGGCCTCTTGGCTCTCTGTAGGATCCAGGAGGCCCTATGCTGGGTTTTGAGGTGGCTTCGTGGCTAGTGACCTGCATTTCTTTTAGATCAGTGTTTCTCAAGCTTGGCAACTTCAAGATGTGTGGACTTCAACTCCCAGAATTCCCCAGTGAGCTGTGCTGGC